TTTTTTCCCATATATTCATTTGTAAAAATTTGATCCCCCATTGTGGCCCCACCCTACCCCCGGGGGCCCTCATTTGAACAAATTTCATTCTACACTACCCAAAGATGCCTCCATATCAATTTGACTAATCATGGCTTTTCTGTTCTTGAGAAAAAGACTTTTTCCTATATATTCCTCTGTAAACTTTGATCACCCATTGTGGCCCCAACCTATCCCCAGGGTAATGATTTGAACAAACTTGAATCTTCACTATCTGAGGATGCTTCCATATAAATATGACCAATCATGGCTTTACTGTTCTTAAGAAGAAGATTTTTAAAGATATTTTCCTATATATTTCTATGTAAAAGTTTGATCCCCAATTGTGGCCCCACCCTACCCCCGGGGGTTATTATTTGAACAAACTTGAATCTTCACTACCTGAGGATGCTTCCATATAAATATGACCAATCATGGCTTTACTGTTTTTAAGAAGAAGATTTTTAAAGATATTTTCCTATATATTTCTATGTAAAACTTGGATCCCCCATTGTGGCCCCACCCTACCCCCGGGGGTCATGATTTGAACAAACTTGAATCTACACTACCTGAGGATGCTTCCATATAAATATGACCAATCATGCCTTTGCTGTTCTTAAGAAGAAGATTTTTAAAGATATTTTCCTATATATTTCTATGTAAAACTTGGATCCCCCATTGTGGCCCCACCCTACCCCCGGGGGTCATGATTTGAACAAACTTGAATCTACACTACCTGAGGATGCTTCCATAAAAATATGACCAATCATGGCTTTACTGTTCTTAAGAAGAAGATTTTTAAAGATATTTTCCTATATATTTCTATGTAAAACTTGGATCCCCCATTGTGGCCCCACCCTACCCCCGGGGGTCATGATTTGAACAAACTTGAATCTACACTACCTGAGGATGCTTCCATATAAATATGACCAATCATGCCTTTGCTGTTCTTAAGAAGAAGATTTTTAAAGATATTTTCCTATATATTTCTATGTAAAACTTGGATCCCCCATTGTGGCCCCACCCTATCCCCGGGGGACATGATTTGAACAAACTTGAATCTACACTATCTGAGGATGCTTCCATAATAATATGACCAATCATGGCTTTGCTGTTCTTAAGAAGAAGATTTTTAAAGATATTTTCCTATATATTTCTATGTAAAACTTGGATCCCCCATTGTGGCCCCACCCTACCCCCGGGGGTCATGATTTGAACAAACTTGAATCTACACTACCTGAGGATGCTTCCATATAAATATGACCAATCATGGCTTTATTGTTCTTAAGAAGAAGATTTTTAAAGATATTTTCCTATATATTTCTATGTAAAACTTGGATCCCCCATTGTGGCCCCACCCTACCCCCGGGGGTCATGATTTGAACAAACTTGAATCTACACTACCTGAGGATGTTTCCACATAAGTTTCATCTTTCCTGGCCCAGTGGTTCTTGAGAAGAAGATTTTTAAATGATGCCATTATTTTTTCACTCATTCCTAATTATCTCCCCTTGAAAGAGGGCGTGGCCCTTCATTTGAACAAACTTGAATCCCCTTTACCCAAGGATGCTTTGTGGCAAGTTTGGTTGAATTTTGCCCAGTGGTTCTTGAGAAGAAGTTGAAAATGTGAAAAGTTTACAGACAGACAGACGGACAGACGGACGCCGGACAAAATGTGATCAGAAAAGCTCACTTGAGCTTTCAGCTCAGGTGAGCTAAAAAGGGGAAGGGAGGATAGTATCTGCAACAGCAAAATATCAACAAATTAACAGGGGAGGGAATGTTGTCTGTTATGGCAAAATATAAATCAACAAATTCATGGGGGAGGAATATTGTCTGTAATATAACAATACACATATATTAATAGGGGGAGGAATAATGTCTGTTTATCAAAATATCACAAAATTATTTGGTGAAAAATTTTGTCTAAATTTCTTGGAAATACATGTAAATAAAACTGTGAGTTGATGTTAAGAGTAGTGTTATTATTTATTTAGTACATGTTTTTACCAGTATGAAGATGCATTTCTTCAATATTTTACCTGATCTGATGAAAGCTGGTGGTGAGAAATCGTTGACAGGGTTAAATATCCGTACACTTGTGATCGGGCTGTCATGTTCTGATACCAGTGTATGCAGAACCACTGGAAAAAAGAAAATTAAGTATGTCAAATTTTCTTTATGTCTTTTCTATTTTGATTTCATAAAGTTAAGTACTGGTACAAATATTATTCATTAAAATTATATAAAAAAAAGAAATTGGAAAATATATAGTCATGAATAGGAAATACAAATTCAATTTTTGTTATAGAGCACTGAAAAGAGTAGGTCAAAAGATAAAGATTCCAAGCAGGGAAAAATTAAGAAGTGAATTTTTCATGAAATAATCCTCGTCATTTTAATGATCATTAACTTCTTGATATCAGACCTGTTTTCACTACATCAACTACAGCCAGTTTCACTAGCCCACTCTGATGACCCATGGCGGTCAATCTTCTGGAGTCTGACTTGTAGTATACCATGTCTAACCACTGGACACTGGTCAAAAAAATGGCTATTACATGTTACAATTATCCTCCTTCATTTAATATTGAGTAGACAAAATATTATGATCATATCCGTCAGCTTGTTTGTCTTTTAATCTGTTTATCTTTAGGAGTCAAACTGTACAGATGAAAAAGGTCTCTTAATACACTTGTATGGAAGTATGTTAGCTACAATGCTGATGGTTCTAACTATTCATATGTAAAACAAACATAAATACCAGCTGTTCAAGTCTTGAAATTCTGGGAAAAACTCATCAGAGTCTTCTTCTATAAATCTGTGTTGGAATCCCTAAAATTAGAGGAAATGAATAAACTGTAAAATTTTCATGAAATCATTTTATTTATCAAGAGAGAATCTGATAAATAAGGAGTATGTTTTTTTTTTTTAAAAATCAACTATAAAATATTCATAAAATATCAGATTCATCATATATCTGCCTTCACATTACATTTTTTTTTTTGCATTTTTGCATTTAAAAATAAGTCACTTTTTATTAACAAGCTAAATGAAAAAGACCTCATTTGGATCACACTAACAGTTTTCAATTCAAAGTTAAGTGCATGAGCCCATACCTCCTTATACATATGAACCCTGTTGTCACTCCCACCAAGGAGAAATACATCTTCCTTTTTACTCTCTGACACAATTCTGCAATATGCAAATACACTACAGTGCATAATATACATGATATTAATTGCAACAATACAAATATAACATACTGCAATTAAAAGACTAGCGTCTATAATTTCGGAGAACATTTCAAAATTACTATACCACGTAAGGAAATATTTTGACACATGATCAAATATCTTACTGTGTGTGTGTTAGCTGATATGGAACAAAATCCAAGTCTATTGTTACACATCCCTCTGAAACAGAAAATGAAATAATGAAGACTTTGTGTATTTGCATTTAATTTGTGATAGAAATTTGTTTTTAAATGGAAATGGCATGCACAAAAAAATTCTTAGGAGATACCTCTGATTTAGTTGCCATCACTGAATGACTGTCAGTTTAATTTTAACATTTTAACTTACGTGCAATACTTTCCAAATGCGACTCCTCTCCTGGTTCACATGAGGAATAGATGTTGAGATATTGTGTACAGGCATTGTCACCATCCTCTATCTGTACAATAACAAGAAAAATATTACCCTTCATTTCTTAACAAATAAGTTCCCAGAAATCTATTTTGGCTCTGATGAATTTAGATGCCTGGATAATTAAGTTACCCCTTGTTTCTGCTTGATAAATGTAATGCCCACAATGATTCCATTTCCTTGGTTGAATTTGCTGATTACATCTAGTGAGATGAGCTCTGCATCAGCTACAAAGAACAAGATATCTTTTTTTTTATTTTAAAGGGAGAAGAAAATGTGGTGGCATATTTCGAAAGTCTGAAGTGCTCCTAAGTACTGATGGTAGAGGAGCAGTGTCATTTGAAAATTACTAGTACGGTGAGACTACCAAGTCCTTTCAGAATACATGTATCAGCTTCCTCTGAAAAATCTACTCAAGAAAGGTGTAATAGTTTGGACCTGGATATCGGCCTGGGTGGATTAGTGGTTAAAGCACCTGACTACTGATGCAGGAATCCTGGGTTTGATTCCCAGTCCAGCCATACATTTTCTCCTTTCCTGTTACACTGGTGCCATGACTACCCCCTAGACTTGCAGCTGAAAGTCCTGCCAGGGGCAAATAAGAACTTGGGCTGTGTCTTCAAGGCAAAGACAATTTATGGAGAAAGGAATGTAATGGTTTGAGTAGTGGATATTGGCCTGGATAGCTTAGTGGTTAGAGCACCTGACAAGTGATGCAAGGGTCCTGGGTTCGATTCCCGGTCCAGCCATATATGTTACTCCTTTCCTGTTACAATAGTGTACTGCACTGCAGAGTCTTGAGACAATCTTAGCAAAATCGGGTATATAATAGGATTGTCTCAAGACCCTGTGACTGTGTACTGCACAGCTGCTGCACTGATTTTTTAACCTCAGCAGCCCCGCCCACTTATAATAATCTAACGGTCGTCATTCAATAGAGCAGGTTTTATTTGAAACAATATATACATACCAGGTAAATATGTGAAATGAATCTCTTTTGCAGAAGGAATCAAGTTATCGAAATTTCTATGATATTCAACGACTACTATTCTCCCAGCCAAGGATGCAATCACGATCTTATTCGACCCATTCGGATCTACAACTTTTGAGTGCAAATATATGTTTGTTTGCGGAGTTGTTGTAATGCCAAAAATGTTTTCATGAGATGGTAAACTTGAAAAATTTGCATCACTCCATTTCCAATTTTTTCTTGACATTATTTTCCTCCGAAACTGCGGAGAGCATCTTTGTTAAGAAAACGCTTTATTGAGGATAGTTTCATCATTGTATCTTTCAAACACTTTGTTGAGTAAGAAAGTTTGTTTACTAATTATCTCCCTTACCAAGATCTCTTACACCACCACGTGAAAAATGGCAACACAGACAGAAGACAGTGGAGGCCAAAATGTCGGTGAAACGGAATTCAAAGTTGTCAGATCAAGGAAAAGAAAACTCAAACCTGAGGCAGAGATAACAGAGTCAGCAATGGACACATCTGCCCCACCAAAAAAGCCACACTTTCCTCCAATAAGCGGTGACAAATTGACAGTAATAAAATATTCAGGCATTGCTTGAATTTTTGTTTGTTTTTTCAAGTTTTATTATTAAAGTAAAATGTTATGCACGACCCAATAAATGGGAAAATTGATTAAATTGTTTGATAAAATTAATTACTTTGGTTGATGATATGTTAATTGTTTATTTATTAACAGGGAGGAAAGTCTGAATTTAGGAAAATTCCAGTACCCAGTCATAGATATACTCCTCTGAAAGAAAACTGGATGAAAATATTCACTCCAATAGTGGAAAAACTAAATCTCCAAGTCAGATTTAACCTCAAAACACGTAATGTTGAAATAAAGGTAAGTGTTCAATAATAGTAATAAATGGCACCAGAAGTATGGATCGATACCCCCCCCCCCCCCCCCTTAAAAAAAATAGTAAAAGTATATTATTTCTCAAAAAATTGAGATTTCCCCATCAATCACATCCATATTTCCTTCTATTGTGAACAGATTGTACTTTTTCTCATGTTTAGAGATTGGCCAGTGTATCCATTAACAGCTGTGAAGGAAGTCTAATCGAGAGGAAATCTAGTACTTTTGAGAATTTATAGCATCTTACTATTTTTTTCATTAAAAAGGGAGGGGAAAGGGGTTATCCACACTTTAGGTGCCCGTGATAGTAAATAAGGGAAAATGTGCAAAAAGTATCCAAACAACCCAAGACCCTTGAATTTAACACAACAGGTGCTCCACAGAAAACTAACCCTGAGAAGAAAGTTGATATAAGTTTAAATACATAATAATGATTATAGTTAATATATCTGATGCTGAAACCTTCAGGGTGAGGAACATCTACATTTTAAGATTTTTGAAATATATTTTAAACCTAAAATCTAGTATATCAAGTTTTATGGTATATGGGGAGACTGGACCTTACCCGATGTAGTACGCATTTGTACAAGAATGATATCTTTCTGGGGAAAACTGTTACCAGTACATGGAAATGGGAATAAGATCAGTAGAATTATTTATTTACATCTTTGTAATAGATATACAAAAAATGGGATCAGTAATCCATGGATATCTTGCATACAGAATATTTTTAACACAGCAGGACTATGTAATGTTTGAAATGATCAAAATTTTCATAGTGTTAAATGGATTGCGACTGCAATAAATCAAAATCTCAAAGATCAGTTTTTACAAAAATGGTATAGTGATATGAATAATTCCAGTAAAGTTATTACATATAGAATTTTTAAAACAAAGTTTGAATGTGAAAAATATTTAACTATTTTACCCAAAAAATTTAGAAATATCTTTTCAAAATTCAGAGCAAGTAACCATCGTCTTCCATAGAGGTGGGTAGATGGAATAATGTTGAAAGAAATGAAAGAGTGTGTTATTTATGTAACAGTAATCAAATTGGAGACGAATTTCATTACTTACTGGAATGTAATGTATTATGTAATATTCGAAAAGATTTTCTGTTAAAGAAATACTATGTACATCCAAATATTATAAAATTCTGTAATTTGATGACAAATACTGATCCGACATTCTTGAGAAAATTGTGTAAATTTATCACCAAAATTTTTGACACTGTCTGTCCTCCTATAATATCTGCTCATCCATAATTATTGTAAGCATGTATATATGTACCTCTTGTATCATTCATATGGTTTTTGAGAGAATAAATGAATAATTGAAGACAGTTTCCTTTTGTCAGGATTTAATAAAAAGTTATAGATTAAACTTATGGATCTGCTATTTCCTTTTGCATGCCTCTATGACAATGGCATCATAATTTTCAGTAAACTTATGTTGCCTGCATTTATTGAGTCATGATCAAAACATAATTTTTTCGCACAAAAATTTAATAGTTAAAATTTTCTCAAACTTTGTCAACTCCCAGTGCCTTGGGATTCTCTGATAGTCCTTGAACAATTGCAACAAAATCAAAAAAACCTGAGGTTTTTGTTTAAGTGACAAAAAAAGTCTGACATATACAAAGAGATGTTTAATGAGGATACATACTTAGTTTTGGGGTAGAAAGTCAATAAATTTTTTTGTAAATGTTTTCAAGTAAGTTCTTGTCTTACTTAAGCTACCATGCTGCTTATGCACGCACAGAGGACAGTGAGTTTTTGAATTTTTTCATGTGGGTCCATCAAAATTTCTTTGAAAAATATGTTAATTTCAATACAAATTTTCTCCATTTGTATGCATTTTCTATAGAGCAGGCTATAAATGATGGTGATATCTTCCATTCCATTTTAATTCAAATTATGTTTTTATTCCTAATACCGGGTATTGTAATTCTGGTTACAGACGTGTAAAGACACAAAAGACATTGGATCCTTACAAAAAGCAGCAGATTTTGTTCGGGCATTCACACTGGGTTTTGATGTTGATGTAAGTGTTGCTTTGCACAATAATTCATAGTTGTGAAATGTTGCCTTCATACATGTACATGTATAGTTGCGGAATTTAGTTGTAAACAGTATTAATGAAAATGCATTGGCAAAAATATGGTTATTACAAACTTGTCTGAGAATTCTTCTGTCAAATTAATTATTTAAATGTAGATTAACAAGATGTGTTTGTTAAACACTGATGCCCCCGTATGGCAACTCATAACAAAGGTTAAACTTTCTCAAATGCAAATCAATATGTTGATACCCAAAGTAAGGTCTTGTCTTGAGGAATATACCTGTAAAATATAAAACCCTAGCAGCAACCATTGAATAGATATGGAAAAGGTCAAAAGTTTTTCAAAAGTAAGTCAAACATCAAGGTCAAGTTCAAATGGTCAAAATTAATGGTGCCCAAGGAAAGGCCTTTCCACAAGAAATACACATGTGAAATATAAAAGCCCTAGCACCAACCGTTCAAAAGTTATGGCCAATGTTAAAGTCTTTCAAAAGTAGGTTAAATTCCAAGGTCAAAGGGTCAAAATTGTTGGTATCCAAAGGAAGGTCTTGGCACAAGGATAACATGTGTGAAGTATAAAAGCCCTAGCAACAACTATTCAAAAGTAATGGCCAAGGTTAAAGTTTTGCAAAAGTAGGTCAAACTCCAACATCAAGGTCAAAGGGTCAAAGTTGTTGGTATCCAAAGGAAGATCTTGTCACAAGGATTACATATGTGAAGAATGGAAGCCCTAGTACCAACCGTTCAAAAGTTATGTCCAAGGTTAAATTTTTCCAAAAGTAGGTCAAACTCCAAGGTCAAAGGGTCAAAGTTGTTGTTATCCAAAGGAAGGCCTTGCCACAAGGATTACATTTGTGAAGTATGAGAGCTCTAGCGCTAACCGTTCAAAAGTTATGGCCAAGGTTAAAGTTTTGCAAAAGTGGGTCAAACTCCAAGGTCAAGGTCAAAGGGTCAAAGTTGTTGGTATCCAAAGGAAGGTCTTGGCACAAGGTATACACATGTGAAGTATGAAAGCCCTAGCACCAACCATTCAAAAGTTATGGCCAAGGTTAAATTTTTCCAAAAGTAGGTCAAACTCCAAGGTCAAGGTCAAAGGGTCAAAGTTGTTGTTATCCAAAGGAAGGCTTTGCCACAAGGATTACATTTGTGAAGTACGAGAGCTCTAGCACTAACCGTTCAAAAGTTATGGCCAAAGTTAAAGTTTTGCAAAAGTGGGTCAAACTCCAAGGTCAAGGTCAAAGGGTCAAAGTTGTTGGTATCTAAAGGAAGGTCTTGGCACAAGGTATACACATGTGAAGTATGAAAGCCCTAGCACCAACCCTTCAAAAGTTATGGCCAAGGTTAAAGTTTTTTCAAAAGTAGATCAAACTCCAAGGTCAAGGTCAAAAGGTCAAAGTTGTTGGTATCTAAAGGAAGGTCTTGTCACAAGGTATACACATGTGAAGTTTGAAAGCCCTAGCACCAACTATTCAGAAATTATGACCAAGGTTAAAGTCTGAAAAAATTTAGCCAAAGTGGGTCAAACTCCAAGGTCAAAAGGTCTTTTATGGTACCCAAAGAAAGGTCTTGTCACAAGGAATACACTTGTGAAATATGAAAGCCATATCTCCAACCAATCAAAAGTTATGGGCAAGGTTAAAGTTTTTGCGGACAGACAGGGCAAAAACTATATGCCCCCCAATCTTCGATTATGGGGGCATAAAAATAGACTTAATTTTGAACCTTTAAACATTTAAAAGAAAAACTTTCCAATGGCTCTTTAGTAGTTGTTGATAATATAAAACTTTATATCTTTTATTAGATGAGTTTATTGAACAAGCAATGATCAGTATATTTCCATGACTGATATTAAAAACAACATTGATAAATCTTTTAGTAGCCATTGGATAAAAATCCCTGTCAATGTACATGTATTCTGTATATACTTATTCAAATTCTTATTGTCCATTGTAGGATTCCCTAGCATTGGTTAGACTGGATGATCTATTTTTGGAATCCTTCGATGTCACTGATGGTAAGTTTTACCATTAAAACAAGCCTTTATCAAATAAAGTACATGAACAAAAATCATTCTAAAACAAAATGATTTCATTCTCCAAAAATTTCAAATACAGAAAGGTGTTTTATGTATGATTTAGCTGTTCACAGTGTATAGGTTTTTTTTTTTATTTTTGTCCCAAAGTTTCTTTTGGAAACTTTAATACATTTTAAATAACTTTGAATAAACAGTTACTTAATGTTTCATTCCTTTGAATATTTTTCTGTCAGTATCAGCATTAACTGTTTTTAGCTTTAAAAAAATATTTAAATTGACTTTCAGTAAAACCACTAAAAGGTGATCATTTGTCAAGAGCCATTGGGAGGATAGCTGGTAAAAATGGGAAAACAAAATTCACGATAGAAAATGTCACCAAAACCAGAATTGTGTTAGCTGACACGTAAGTTTAGGCTTAATACATATACTGTATTAGTAAGAGAAGTAATGTTTCCATTTGAAAATGCAGATGAATGTGTCAAAGGAAAATTTATTAAAAAATAATTTAAAAAAAGAGAGATTTCAATTGAATTTGATATTCATGGTGAAAATTTAAGTATGGACTTCTTTTTGTACCTTTTAAACTCTTAATACAATTGTACATTCATTTTTTATACAGGAAAATACACATATTAGGATCCTTTTCAAACATAAAGATTGCCAGGACAGCAATTTGTAATCTCATTTTAGGTAAGCACAAATTGATTTTATCTTATAACAAAATATGAAATTTTATAAGTGTTTTTTTTGTTTAAGATTTCTTTGGGTCTATGGAGCAAAAGTCATTAATTTTATTTTACAAGTAATAGATTTTTAAACAATTCATCCCTTGTGCATTTCATATACAGTAGTGTACTTGTATATACTGAATTTAAAAGCATATTAAAATATAATTTTTGTTATAATCTTAACAGGGTGAAATTTTATTTTAGTCAAGTTAAATAACAGGTTATACTTGTACACATACATATACTTTATCTGTTAAATGCACCTGCAGTGTTTATATTTTTCTTCACAGGTAGCCCACCCTCTAAAGTCTATGGAAACATGCGGAGTGTGGCGTCCAGGGCATCTGAGAGATTCTAACTTTTGTTGTTGATATTTATGTAAATAAATGTAAACCTGTGTTGCCTAATATGTGTTCCTGCATATTTGCATTTTTGATTTATAAACGTTGAGAAAGGGTTCAAAAGCATAATGTGACTAGGTGGCATGTGTTGCCAATATATATATGCTATGTATCTGAGTTACATGATGTATCAATTCTACTAGTATAATACAGGCTAATGTCTGGCTCGTGGGTGACTAACCAAAAAATGTGCAATGTAAATCTTATACGGTACCAATTTGGATGCATCAGATTTGTATTTTGACAAATTATGTCTCTTCAGTGATGCTCATGCCGAAACTTTGGAAATCCAAAATATTTAAATAAAAAAGACTGAAGAGCTGAAAAAAGGCCAAAGACTAGAGCTAAATATGTCAAAGGATCAGAGCTATGCATTAGGGAGATAATCCTTAATTTTGAAATGAATTGCTAAGTTTCACCACAGCAGTTAAATATATAAGCATATTTCCAAGTTAGTACGGAAGTACTTAGCTACTGGGCTGTAGACACCCTCGGGTACTAACAGTCCAATAGCAGAGGCCACAACCCAGAGGTCAAAATGTAAATCATATACAGTACCAATTTTGATGCACCAGATGCGCATTTTGTCAAATTATGTCTCTTCAGTGATGCTCATGCCGGAACATTGGAAATCCAAAATATTTAAATAACACTTTGAAGCGCTGAGAAAAGGTGCCAGAGACTAAAGCCAAACATGTTGAAGGATCAGAGCTATGCATGAGGGAGATCATTCTTTAATTTTGAAATGAATTTCTTAAGTTTTACCACAGCAGTTAAATATATATGTTATACAGTATTATAAAGGACCTTACTCAACTCCAGACCTAAAAGATATTTTAATGGAAGAATGCCTAGCATCTGTCTCTTTGTATGTCCATTTATTGCTTGTCAGGGGGCAGGTGCAAATAAGGACTTGGGTTGTGTCTTAGAGCATGAAGACAATCTAAGGAGGGAGGAATGTAATGGGTTTGGGCTATGGATATTGGCCTGGATAGCACATTTCTTAGAACACCTGACTAGTGATACAGGAGTCTGGTCCAGCAATACATTTTCTCCTTTCCTGTTACATAATTTAATTGGTGCCACTGTCCACCTTTGGAGTTGCAGTTTAAAATCCTGCCAAGACAAAAAGATAGTGGGCTGTACACATCTTTAAGGGCAATCAAGTGTGCAATTCAAGGATGAGGAATGTGGGTTTGATTCCCTTTCCAGCCATACATTTTTTCCTTTACTGTTATGTGTAAATTGTTCACAATTTTCACTTTTCGACAGAGATTGAAATATTGTTATTTATGTTTCTGTTCTTTAGGAGCAGAGAGGCATTTAAGGAAGCTCTAAACACTGCACACTAAAGAGTACTATTTGTAGGGTAGTTTTATTGAGTTAGAGTGATCTGTCCTTAGAAGAAAAATAAAATAAATGGGAATCTACAGTTAATGTCACAATTTGTTATGAATTAAAGTTAATTCTTAATGTTATGTTAGACCAAGATTAAGTAATTGAATACATTATTTCCATTAATTTTCCCAATGCAAGTACACAACAGTGATTCTGTTCACAGATAGTTCATTGTCGATGAACTTTTTTTCTGCAGAAATAGGGCAGGTACCCTATGTTGAAAATGAACTAGATACACTGAATATGTGCACCTTTAAATGATATATTATTCTCAAAGTCCATTTTGATCAGTGTTTAGAGCTTCCTTAAATGTACTGTGGAGGTGAATAACTGCGCATCATAATGTACTGTGTGAACCCTCATAATGGTTAATAGTTCAATGACTTTACATCACTTTAAACAATGTCATATTTAGATTAATCTGAAATGTCATTAATTATCATTGAATATAAATCCCTACTTTTTTTTCAAGTATATTCTTTTTCGTTCGATTTAGAGTGGAAACTTCACTGAAAGACTGCTTGTCCCCCCTCCCCCCTTATGTGTTATTATTAAACAGTTGTTTTAACTACAAGAATTATAGTGATTATCAACAATCAATGATCGAATTAAAGAAAATTACACATCATATAAATGCGAATGAGCTTGTTTTAGTACACAGTCAAATCTCGTTATCTCGAACTTCATGGGACCAAGAAAATACTTTGAGATATCCAAGGATTTGAGATACCCAGGGTAAAATACTTAAGAAATAAGCGCTTGGGACTTCAAAATCACTTCGACATATCCATGGTATTTGGGATATCCATGTTCGAGATACCGAAGTTCAACTGTATATTTTGTCATATTCACATTTTCAAATTCCATACCATCCTTCCATTTCAATAGGTATGACATCATTAACAATCAAAATTTTCTTTCACTTTCTTTATTTTGTCCAATTGTTTTCCACATTACCAGTACAATTTCACTGATCAGAAGACAGAAAAATCATCATAATGATATGCATGAACAATACAAGGATAGTACCTGTATAATCACATTATTCTTAGTAATGCTAGAATTTTGAAACTGAGATCATAACTTGAAACAGAAGACCCATCGGCCAAATTGCTCACCTGAGCACTGTGGCTAGGAAAAGAGCAAAAATCAGTTCAGTATTGAAAAGTTTAAATGCATAAGTGGTCGTGACCTACACCTAAAAGAGGGGCTTGATTTGAACAAAAAGAAAGGATGCTTACATATTTCTTTGATTAACTGTGCAGCACCTAAAGCAAGTCCAGTAAATTGCATCCTTAGTTGTATCATCCATGCAGGTTTAATCAACATAGGGCTTATAGTTACTTAAGAATGAACCTGCTCCCACAACTTTAACCTGGTCACTCATCTGGAAAATGTAGTTCAGATCCAGCATCTGAAGCAAGCCTGGTAGTGTGCATCCCTAGTTGAATCATCCATGCAAGTTTGGTCAATATATGACTTACACTGTATACAGAAATTAAGTTATTTTTGCCCCTTTCACCCTAGACACAAGTGGGCAAATTTAAGACAAGGCAAACTCAAAGACTACAGAATAATTTCTTAAACAGAACTTTGGCTGGGCAAAAGAAAGGGCAAAAATAACATGGGGGGGGGGGGGGGAGGGGGAATAATAACCCTATCATATATAATACTAATACTTGGAAATGACACGTGCTCCAAACACTTTAATCTGCTCCAAAAGCATTAACCTTGTCATTCTTCAGCTGAAAACCTTGACAAGTACAATGAAACATACTAGAAGTATCGTCCATGTATACCTGATTAATATAGGGTATTAGGAGTACTTGAAAAGAAATCTGCTCCAAAAAAATTAACTGGGACACTGACACTGATGATTTTTGTTTTTGTTTAACGTCCCTCTTGAGGATATTTCACCCATATGGAGAAGCCACCAATTGCTGGTGGAGAGCTGTTTTTGACCTATACTCAGCACTCATGATCAGAGCAATTGAGCAGCAAGGGATCTTTTTAGTTATTTTGACCTGACTCAAGATCTGTGATAAAGACTTGTATGTGATATTATGTTGAAAAGTCTATAGTATGAATTGCAGTACCAGAAATTATTTTTTAAATGAAGAAGAAAATAAAGGAGATAACAAATTTCTAATAAATAATGAATTTCTGAAGACCCATAGATTTTGGATAAAAGGCCCATGGGACACAATGCTCACCTGAGTCAATATTGTCCTGTTCTTCATCAAAGCAGATTTTTTCCTAGATATTCTTTTGTTAAACTTTGATCCTCCATTGTGTCCCCACCAAACTCCCTGGGATGGGTTATGATTTAAACAACTTGAATCTACACTATCCGAGGATGCTTCCATATCAATATGACTAATCATGGCTTTGCTCTTCTTGAAAAAAGATTTTTAAAGATTTTTTCCCCATATATTTCTATGTTTTTGCCTATATCGTACAATGTAAAACTTTGATCCCCCATCCCCCCATTTGGGTTCAACCCTTCCCCCCAGGGTCATGATTTAAACAAACCTGAATCTACACTACCTGAGGATGCTTCCACTCAGTATGACGAATCATGGCATTGCTCTTTGTGAGAAGAAGATTTTTAAAGATATTTGCCTATATAGTACATTGTAAAACTTTGATCCCCCATTGTGGCACCAACTACCCCCAGGGTCATGATTTGAACAAATTTGAATCTATACTATGTACCTGAGGATGCTTCCATATCAATGTGACTATTTCCCTATATATTCCTATGTAAAACTTTTGATCCCCCTTTGTGGCCCAACCCTACCCTTGGGGGTCATGATTTGAACAAATTTAAATCTACATTATGTAATGAAGCATTCATACAAGTTTCAACTTTTTTTGCCAATGGTTCTTGAGAAGATTTTTAAAAGATGCTATCAAATTTATACTAATTCTTAATTATCTTCCCTTGAAAGAGGGCATGGCCCTTCATTTGAACAAACTTGAATCTCCCTCATCAAAGGATCCTTTGTGCAAGTTTAGCTGAAATTGGCCCGATGGTTCTTGAGAAGAAGTTCAAAATGTGAAAAATTTACAGATAAACAGCTAGACAGATAAACAGCTAAGACAGGCGGACAACAGACAAAGATCACTTGAACTTTCAGCTCAGGTGAGCTAAAAATGAACACTAAAGGGCACTTCCACCTTGATGCATGCCCTAACTGAATGTAGGAATTAACTTTTTGGATATCATAAGTAATGTTTTACATGTCATATTATGTATTATTACACAAAAAACTTCTCCTCTGCTTTCAAGGGCTTGGAACCTTCTGCTTGAAAAAACCCAAATCCTATAAATGCTGGGAAGCAATGTTTTTTCAAGCAGGCAGCATTAAAAGTTTTGTGATTTTTTTTCATTCTTTTTTTCTTTCTTTTTATAGTGCTTTTCTTTTTTGGTTTCTTCTTGTTTTTTTTCTTTCATTTTTCCTTTCATGTTTTGTTTCTTTTTGTTTCTTTGTTTTTTTTTTGTTTTTGTTTTTGTTTTTTTTTTGCTTTTTTTTTTGTTTCTTTGTTTTTCTTTTTTTGAGCAAAACTTTTTGGCCAATGAGATCAGACAATTTA